TTTGCATCTATGTTCATCAGGGATATTGGCCTAAAGTTTTTATTTTTGTTGTGTCTGTGCCAAATATTGGTTATATAACACAGGCTAAACATCCATCTGGCTCAAGGGGCAACTGCAGCATGTGCAGCATTGGCAGTGGTACCTCAGAGGTAGTAGAACTATTTCACAGTAACCAGTTGAGGACTATGCAAGATTGGTACCATCCAGCATCAGGATATAGCTGTAGGATTTTACAAGCCATTCCTATTTCTAACTTCAGGAATAGATCTTTTTCCCAGTCCATCTTAAAATATTGCTGCTTTAATCACAGATCAGATAAAAAAGACAACATGCACAACCTCCAACTAAAATCCTGTTGTAGCCTAGACAGTGAAATGATATGACATCAGAAGACTTTAAAATCGCAGCTCTCCTTGGATCTCACAAAGTGTATCTGCACTCTTCTTCAAACAGGCCTCTTCCTCAGGAGTGAGTCACTATCACAAGGTCTGAGATTCCTTTCTGTCCTAAAATGCAAGGAACACTAAGGAAGACATCATCCTTTATTCCATAGAGACCCTTAATCATAGTAGAAATTGGGTGCACCCCCCCTAAGATTCTTCATTATACTCTCTGCCAATTCTGCCACAGAGTCCAGTGGCCTAGGATGTATATAGCATTTGAGTTTGATCACCTTGTAAGCAGTCTCAACCACCTACTTGTGAACCTCTTTCCACTGTTCCTTGTCTGTATCAGTCCCTAAATCAGGATACAGAGTCTTCAGGGAGACACCAGCAACGTTCACTCCACTCCATACAGGCACACTAGAATCTCCATGTTCCCCGAGGACCCACCCATGACAGCTTAATGGGTGAACTCCCAGCCTTTCCCCATCAGGTAATGGAACTGGACTGAATCCAGATTGCAACCACTTCCAATAACACTGTTGTTGGGAAAGCCACTTATCTTCCAAGCCACATAGGTCAAGATATCTACCAGATTTGAAACAATAAAGCAACTTGCTGTTCAGACTGTATTTTGCATTAAGAATGATGAAATTAAAGATGTTCACGTTATACTAGACCAAATTAAGATGGCTTTCTCCCTCTTGCTGATGTGCTCTAGTCCAATGACCAGCTTGGAGTTTGTAGTTACATTATAGTCCTTCCCAGAGACAATCTTTGGTGTTCTAAGGAAAAGGCTGCCATGTTGGAGATCCATCATCTCTCCCTTCAATTTATCTTCCATGGCATCAACAAGAGCAAGTTCATCTGCCAAGTCCTTCAAGGACTTGTTGGCATGGCACAGGTTGGGATGTGCCAACCCCAACAGCTGTAATCTTATTCTGGGGGGTCCGTTCTTCCTTTAGAAGATTATGAATCAGCTGATCCTTGAGAGTTGCCATATTGGACTTGGAACCAAAAGGAATTGGGAATGCACATCAGGCAGGCATCAGGGGTGCACAGCAGTGAAATCCGGACTTGTGGCAACAACTCCAGCACCTGGTTTTATTAATTCTTTGTATTGATTTTGGGGTCTCAATTTCATTTAGTTCTGCTCTGATTTTATCCCTATTCCTTTTCTTCTGCTAACTTTAGGAGTTGTTTGCTCTTGTTTTTCTAGTTCCTCTAATTGCAATATTATATCATGAGTCTAATTCTCAGTGTAGGCATTTAGCACTATAAACTTTTTTTTTTTTTCTTTTTGTTTGGAGACAAGGTCTCACTCTGTTGCCCAGGCTGTACTGTAGTGGTGTGATCATGGCTCACTGCTGCTTCAACCTTCCCAGGCTCAGGAGATTCTCCCTTCTCTACCTCCTGAGTAGCTAGGACTACAGGCACATACCACCATGCCTGGTTAATTTTTGTATTTTTTGTAGAGATAGGGTTTTGCCAGGTTGCCCAGGATGATCTCAAACAGTTTAAGTGCCCTCCACCTCAGCCTCCCAAAGTGCTGGGTTTACAGGCCCTGCACCCAGACACACCGTAAACTATTAACACTGCTTTTGCTGCATCCCAGAGATTTCAGTATATTGTTTCTCTCCTTTCATTTATTTCAAAGAAGTGTTTTATTTCTGCCTTAATTTGTTGTTTACCCAAAAGACATTCAGAAGAAAGTTGTTTAGTTTCCATCTTAATTGTGCGGTTTTGAGAGATCTTGGTATTGATTTCTATTTTAATTCCACTGGTGTCTGAGAGTATGCTTGGTATGATTTTGATCTTTTTGAATCTATCAACTCTATTATGGCTGAGCATGTGGTTGATCTTAGACTATGTTCCCACATGCAAATGAGAAAAATGTACACTCTGTGGTTGATGGGTGGAGTATTCTGTAGCTATCTCTTAGGTCCAATTAATTAAGTGTCTAATTTATGTCCAGAATTTTTTTTAGTTTTCTGCCTCAATGATCTAACACTGTTCGTGGGATGTTGAAGTCTCCCACTATTATGATGTGGCTTTCCAAGTCTTTTCATAGATCTTGAAGTAGTTGTCTTATGAATCTGGATGTTCCAATGTTGGGTGCATCTATATTTAGGATAGTTGAGTCTTTTTGTTGAATTCAATCCATTACCATTATGTAATGCCTTTCTTTGTCCTTTTTTACTGTTGTCAATTTAGTCTTATTTCTACAATATAAGAATAGTCACCCCCTTCTCTCTTGTTTTCCTTTTGCATGATAGATCTTTCTCTATCCCTTTACTTTGAGCCTATGGATTTTGTTACATGAGAAGTGGGTCTCTTGAAGATAGCAGATGGTTGGGTTTTATTTTTTTTTTACCCAGCTTGCTACTCTGTGCCTCTTAAAGGGGGTGTTTAGACCACTTATTTCCAAGGTTAATATTGATATGTAAGGTTTTGATCCTGTTGTGATGTTTTTAGCTGGTTGCTTTGTAGCCTTAATTGTGTAGTTGCCTTATAGAGTCTGTGGGCTTTGGACTTAAGTGTGTCTTTGTGATAGCAGGTATCATTCCTGCATTTCTGTGTTTAGAGCTCTCATGTGAACCTTTTGTAATGCTGGTCTAATTGCAAAGAATTGCCTTAGGAATTACTTATCTGGAAAAGGTTTGATTTCTCCTTTGCTTATGAAGCTTAGTCTGATAGAATAAGAAATTGTTGGCTGGAATTTCTTTTCTTTAAGAATGCTGAATATAGGTCTCTTATCTCTTGTGGCTTCTAATGTTTTTGCTGAGAAGTCTGTTCTTAGCCTGATGGGATGACCTTTGTAAGTGATCTGACTTTTCGTCTAGCTGCTTTTAAGAATTTTTTTTTTTCACATTGATCACGGAAAGTCTAACAACTATGTGTCTTGGGGATGGTCATCTTATATCTTATATAGTATGTCCCAGGGTTTCTCTGAATTTCTTGAAATTGCATGTCCCTCTCTAGCAATATTGGGGAAATTTTCATGGACTATATTCTCAAATATGTTACCCAAGTTGTTTACCTTTTCTCCTCTTTCAGGAATGCCAGTATGGCATAGGTTTTATCTCTTTGCATAATCTCATATTTCTCATAGGCTTTGTTCATTTTTTAAATTCTTTTTTCTTTATTTTTGCCTAACTGGGTTGTTTTGAGGGAACAGTCTTTGAGCTCTGAAATTCTTTTTTTGACTTGGCCTAGTATGTTGTTAAGGCTTCCGGTTATATTTGAAATTCCAGTAGTGAATTTTTCAATTCCAAGTGTTCAGTTTTGTTTCTTCTTCATATAGCTATGTCATCTTTCAACTCTTGGATCATTTTACTGGCTTCTTTGAACTGGATCAACTTTCTCTTGGATCTCATTGAGCTTCCTTGTCATCTAGATTCTGAATTTTATGTCTGTCATTTTAGACATTTCAATCTGGTAGGATCCATTGCAATCTTTTTTTTTTTTTTTT